GTATATTTTGTGCACTCGCTGGTGTGGACAGTTAATCAGAGGGATGAAGCGTATAGAAGAGGGAGAAGCAAAATTACGCTCAATGGAGAAGGCTCGAGAGCGAACTCCAAGTAACCAAGCGTTAATCAACATTTATAGTAAGGCAAAAAGTGTACACACAAATACGCTCATATAAAGATAGTCGAGGTTGATAAGTGAACAATTAAAAAGGTCGAAACATGACTCAACAAAAACGGATAAACTGGCCTGTCCAGAAGATAGGAAAAAATATATGGCCTTAGCATAAGAACCGACAATACAATACAAAGGCTCGTGTTTCACCCTGAACGTACAAAACGTGAATAAATTACAGAACCTCATAAACATAACACGCGTATAGCCATCTATCAGTTAAGCATAAATTACCTTCACATAAAAACCAGTCGCATGAATTATCACTGACAGCAGTCCTTCCAAATTAATCTTTTAGACATGATTTCCAAACGTTTGGCTACGAATCTGTTGTGAACAAACAATAGTGTAAGTTGCATTCCTCTCTGTAAATGACTGGTGGATGAAGAACTTACCTTACTGCTATTTCATCGTACTTATACAACATTGTAACGGAAACATAACGATGAAAACCCCCCTGCAGCTTTAGTGTTGGACATTACTGTCATTTATCTGTTTCTTTTCCATGTCGTGTATTTTACCCTTTGTTCAGATCTCGTTTAACCACACCTTTTGTCCTTCAGTCTTCCTCTTTTGAGCTTTTATTGTGTGATTTTGATCAAAGGCTTATCTTTTGTTACCTAATTTTCTATTGCATGTTACCGGACTATTGACAGTAGGGTCGTGTTTGACTAAGCTCAAGGTCACGGCGTGGTTCAGTGTGTGAACGTTAACCCCCTGACTTTGCGTTAGAGAAACTTCCGACTGTATAGCAAAGGCTGTACCGTTTGAGGTGTTTTGTATTTTTGATGTAATTTGTTCTGTTTTCTAAATTAGAACAGTTTATATTGAGCACAGAGTTTGTATTTTGATATAATATAATACGAGTATCTCACAAACGCGTTGTGAGCTATACAGAAGAACGTGGTCTGGTGTAATCGAATAAATTTTGGGTTCGTCAGTCCGTTGTTCCAACCGAATATTGGTTGTTCGGTCGCTACAAACATACTGTAATTCTCAGCTTGATTAGCTGATTAGCCATGAGGTCTCTAAATTCGTGCTATGGTAGAAAGAAAAGTCGAAATTCGCGTGATTTACTAATTATGAGATTTTTCAACATTACTTCCATTCTGATTCAATGTGATGATCATTCAGTGTAATATTCGGTTTTCTTTTCTCGTATGATATCTTATTCTGTATAATATATGATATTCTTGTATTTAATTGACACGAACTATGCTCAATATGTGAGTTGTTATAACTGAGTATTTTTATATGTGATTCCATCCTAATTATTAATCAAAATGGGTGCACAGTCAATATATAAATGAGTGTATTTTCTACTAGAGTTGTCGTCGTCGTCTTGTTTTGGGGTTAATAAATCTTTCCTTATACCAGTCTTTGTGTTCTTACTTTCGCGTCGTGCGAATCGCAGAGGTCCCCCGATTCGAGTAAAGTGATAAGAGTTTTCGACGCTACAGTCAGCAACCACCAGATATAACAAGTAGCATTCAACTAGCTATTTAAAACAATTCGTCGCTGTGACTTGCGTACAGGTGGTGCAATAAATTGAAGAAGAGAAATGAAAACATCTCAAGAAGGTCATATACTTGTCATTTCGCTGTTCTTTGGAAGATTTTTCACTGACGGAAGCTTTAAGCATGGTTGTTATAATGCGTGGATTTATAGTTATATCAACAGACAAAGAAAATCAATCAGCAGTCAGATGTGAAGAATATTTTCTGTTCCTATGGTCATTAATTGGTGATAAGTGTCTGATGCCTAGTTTTCTTGGAATACGGTGAATTGTATTTATATCCTTCGATATTCATAGATTAGGATTTTGCCTCCAAGACCACTGATGTATTTTAACATTATGTTTCTAAATAAACGTATTCACTTGAGTGCCCACCGTATACAACATAGTGAGCAATGTTCGTGAACTTAATATCCTATTGACTGCCGTAACTAGGCAGAGTACATAAATGAAAATCAAATAGTTTTAGAGAACGGTAAGGATAATCAAGTTGGTTAAAACACTAACAGCTTTTGTAAAACTAAAGACTAAAAGGGAAGTAAAACACAAAATTTTTCATGTGCGGTCATGATATTAGAAAACAAACAAACATTTTAGTAAAAAATATGATTTAATCAACGAAAAGTTGGAACGATACTTGATGCATACATAACAACGTGAAAATCGTGCGATATAAATTTAAACGCAGTACTCCTCATAACGGAAAGAAAACGTTGCTATTCCGAAGATATACTTATGGTTGATCGGATGAGCCTTTTTCCTCTAGAGTATTCATGAACATCATTCGAGATGGTTGAGAGGTTGCGAAAATGTATTTATATGAAGTCGTATTGTTAAACAAATCGTAAACACGAATCATTCTGCCAAAAAAACTAATTGTTCATAGTCATGTTCTAGGTAAATCACAGCGTAACACAATGAGCCTCGCTTTCGTACTTTCGCTGAAACCTTTGCTATGTCTAAACAAAAAAAGAAAAGGGCGTATAAAAAATTAATTAGAACATTAATTCAATTTCAAATGCATTGGATTATCTCATTGGTGATAAATTTTACTGAAACTTGATCAGCCTTGGTTGGCATATGCGCATCCTGTTTTGATCGCTTAGATGTATACGCGTGTACTCGTGTTTCGCTCTTTCCCATAAAATATTTTCTAAAGACCTGTGAAATTATTCACTAGCTTAGGCGGCACCATCTTCGTTATTCCTCTCTTCAAACTACGTGTAACGGAAAGAAAACTCTGAAAATCCCCCCACAACATATTTATGGACAGTACTGCTATTTATTTTTTTCTCCCTGTCGTGTATTTTAGCCTTCATTCAGATCTCTTATAACCACACTCTGTGTTCTTCAGTCTCCCCAGTCTGAGGTTTTATTGTGTGACTTTCGTTAAAGACTTACCTTGTGTTACCTAATTTGTCTGTCTTATGTTGCCGAGCCATTGACAATAAGGTCGTGTTTGACTGAGCCCAAAGTCGCGGGGTGGTTCAGCAGTGTGACTTTTAACCCTTTGCTGTTTGCTTGGAACGATTCCTGGATTCCCTATATTTAGACATCTGATCCCATCTTGTTGGGAAAATCGTTATTGATTCTTAGGTTTCAACTCTTGTTTATTAACTATTATTTTATTTATAAGCAGAGGTGGATAGCGGCTAGCAGTGGAATCCAGGACGCGCATTTCGTCCTATTTGGGACTCGTCAGCTGGATGTACTCGCATCTCAGAGTTCACGTTCACCTTGGGACTCCAAGTCAGTACCGTTAGCGTCAAACGTCATCGCGTTTACCACTCAGCTATTGAGTCCTGACGGACACATACTTGTGCAATGAAGTGAAGTTTAGGACTACAGTTGATCACTATCTTATTGTCATATGTGCGGGCTGTACGTATTGCATCGATATTGCCTTGATTGGGTTACAGTCCCAGGGTGAACATGAACTCTGGGATGCAGGTACATCCGGCTGACGAGTCACAAATAGGACGAAAAGCGCGTCCCGGGTTCTACTACTAACAACTATCCATCTTTGCCCGTAGTGTTTGTGAATTAGTGCGATGTCGAGGCAAAACCCACAGTACGCTCATGTGTCAATAAGAGACTGATCAATTTCAGTCCTAAACATCAATGGGATGATTCAAGTAAACAATACCAAGTGAATTTTATTCTTTTTGTTGTTCGAGACTCAAGTTTATGTTAGAAAAACATTTGACCGTATGGCACATCTGTATCGTCCGAAGTATTCTGTACTTTTGATATAATTTATTCCATTTCTTAAATTAGAACGGTTTAAATTATACACTGAGTTTGTGTTTTGATAAGATTTAATTCGAGTAATTCAAAAACGCTTTGTACGTTGTACAGAAGAACGTAGTCTGGTATAATGGAATAAATTTTGGTTCGTTAGTCCTGTGTTCGAACGGAATATTGTTGTTTCGGTCGTTACACTTCTCATAAACATGGCTGCTAGGTCATATAAGGCAGTAATTGACGCAACCTCAAGAATTCCTAGCTGATTAGTATGTTGTTCTATTATTCAGTTATAAACCAGAAGCGGCCAACAAAATACAACTCGATACATAGGTCACAGTTGTAATGTTACTTAAAAATAAAGAAACTTTCGTGCTGGACTCCAAATTAAGTTGTGGACTTCTTTTCCAACGGGAATAGGGAGGATAGAGCACAAATAGTGCTAGCGAATTCCATCAGACTTGAAAATACAAACTGCGAAATAATGATCTCTTCGGGCAAACCAAAAATTGTAGTAACTACGATCGAATTCTGAGAGTTTAATTTTCATATTCATAAATCTTTTTATTTCTAATGGCGAAAAAATACACTTATGTTCTAGGCTTTCGCTCTGAATGGTTCTGACATGTGCTACATGACCGTCGTATTCCTAAACTATAACCGTAGTCAAATAATGATTCCAACACAAACAATGCGCTACACAAACATGTATAAATATATGTATATACAAGATTTATATTGAAGACAATCAGAAGTTTTACAACAAAAAATAACGACGTCCCACACCAAAAGCAGATTCTAGTTGGTACTATCCAGTAGATCGAATATGTTATCCCACAATTTATTTCAACTTACTTGGAATGGAGAGATTAAATTGAACGTTCATCTTGTAAAAATCAAATATGAACTGTGAACAAACACCTGCGTGATTACTTATAATGACTCTAATAAACGCTTAGTAACGTAACGCTACTCGCAAAAGAAAAGTATGTTTCTTTTTCGACTCATATAATTTGATTTGCATTCTTCATAATCAAACCTAAGTTATGATTATCTGCCATTGAGTATTGAACGAGTGAGGCAAATTTATGCAGGTGCGCTGCACTTACTTGCGCATCCGCCATAACGGCTTTTCTGAAAGGCAAAACTGACAAGTAAGCACTGGAAGTTTGAGTTAATAATACTTTGTGTACACGATGATTGAGGGTTACAATTAGACACAGCAAACACGATCAGTTTATCACGATTTGCAACAAACGACCAGTTAACCTTCGATTGGATACCTAGTGACTTCCACGCACTAGATCCAACTCTCTATACCAAGAACTTTACTTAAAGATCGCTTCATAATCTTGTTGTCGAACCAAGCCCACCTTCAAGATGCTGTTGCGAACCAAGAGCAGATTTTCGGTGTTATAACCAGCTTTAACTGGTTGTTACCCCGATCTCAGTCCAACTGATTGCTTACTATGCTTGATTATATCTTCTAATCATTGCATGCGTTATGCATTCCTTGTTGCGAATTGCTATTGTCGGTATACCTTTAAAAGTTTTATGGATATTCGGTAAGGCTACCAGGATACAAAAGTTAACTATGCAATGCGAACCTATTCCTAGTCCTAATTAAGGGATCACAGGCACTGGAACAGTGCTTTGTTATGAGGAGTAAATATATCATAATTTAAATAATCTACATATCCTGTTAACGTTGGTTGCTATCTGTTGCTTTCCTTAATAAATGTGAGTGCATTGTTTCCGCTTACCGGGTCCTCAGATTTATCTCTTTCTTCTATTTTCCAGCTCTCTTCACGCTACTCTGCATTCTCGCCTAGTACGCTAAAAACATTCTGACTAGTGAACCGCTAAAAAATGCAGTCCGGTTGTGCCAAGCTTGTAGATCCTATTGATCTAGAGTATTTCCTACCACAGAACAAAATGGAGGTATTTTCGTATATTAAGTCTAACCGTTCCAGAAGAAAGTAGAAAAGTGTCCTCCAGATATATGTAAGCTATACTAGTTTTACTAACAACACATAGTTTTCAGTTTGGAAACCAATCCTATTACTGATGGTTCCGCATACATTGAAGTAGGTGAAATTAAAGTTTCCTGTTCCGTCAATGGTCCTACTGAGGTATAATAATCACGTATTGCAAGGGGTTAATCTGATTCTGATGTAGATGCGCCAAGACAGCCAGTTAGTTGCAGTGCTTAAGTTTGCACCATTCTTGTCCTGGTTACCGAAAGATGTTCAAACGTCTATTGAAAAAAAGCTTAGTCGACTTCTTCTTAGCGCTATTGAACCTTCTGTCATGCTTGTAGGTCTAAACCGTAATTATTTGATTTGGTTTCATGGTTCTTTCCTCTTTCATTTTATTACTTTGTGTGTAGAAGAATACTTATGAAGTATATTACACGGTTGGAAATAATTATCTTATTCGTGTGGTAGTCTAAGTCTTTTTATATACTATCGGACGACCGGACACGTCTGAACTGATGAGCATTGTCTCGAAGTAACATACTTCCATGGTTTTTGCATAATCCATTTTTACAAACAATGGAGTTGTCACCTTCCTATACAGATTTAGGTTTCGGTGTTCTAAACCATCCTGTTCATGTCGGTTGACATCAATACGCCTTCGTACAACCGTAAATAAAAAGCGCTTAGCAGTTTATCAGAAATGCTATTACATGATCATGTGTTTCACAACCTTTTTTGAGCGAAGTAATCGTAAAGGCTTTTATGTACTCGGTGTTCTACAAAAATCAATATCCACCCTTTAAATAGGCCTGGTATATACGGAGTTCACTTTCGCGAAGTTGTAAAGCCCTGACCGCAATTTACTTGTTCACATAGTGTCATCGAGAAGTAAGCGTAACAAAAATCCTGATCTACATAACAGTGGGTAAACACCTGACTATAGATGTTACGATGTGGTTTCTTAGAAAACCTAATCACCTATACCAACTCCCAATAAACTTGTTTTGGAAGACTATTACTGTCCAACAAATCTAGTCCCTTTATTACTTGAATACCATACGTTTTTACAAAATATTGACGCATTAACAAAATATGAACTGAAGCTATTAATGACGTTAGCTTTTATAGATAAATTGCTGACTAATATAAGAAGAAACAGCCCCATCATCCGAATTATCACCCTTGACCTCGTAAAAGTTTCAGGATCCTAGAGTAATTCATAACAAATAAATCTGCTCTGGCAACCGGCTGAATACATTTTTCGACGTTAGTCTATTACCTTGTATCAAACATTTTGGTCAATAACTACATGAATTGCTCAGTGGCCCGAGTATTATTACATCCACCATTATGAGTGAAAAAAGGTGTAATTAATCGCCTTTTTTATTAGTTCTCAAATGGCAACAGTTTCATTATAAATAACTTCATTTTATGTCTTAATACATTTTAGACCGTTTTATTCCCATGTAGTTTAATGTGAAACTTCTTAGCTTAACACTGACAAGACTCATGTTTTTGCGTAACAGTTCTTAACTCTTAGATTATATCTTATAAAAGCTGTCAATGACTATAATTCCAATACAACTATCTTTTTAATATAACTTATGTGTTTTGGACTATCTCTCATTGATATTCATATTATGATGCGGATCAGACTGGTCTTATATCTAGTGGTTGAAAAATCTGTCTTTCAACCTGTAGGTAGCAGGTTTACATCTCTCTCTACCTACATTGTCTTCGAAAACCAATTAGTATCACCAACCTACACTCAAACAATGGGAATCAAAGCCAAGAACATTAATGCGTACTCGGTAAATAAGTGAAAATAGAATAAAAACTCACTATTGGTTATCATATTTTAAAAATCCATATTAAAGATGGAACTAAGGTGTTACAACACATTATCTACTTAGTTACTGAGCTGGGATAACTTTAATAACTTCAAAGCTGTCTAGTGTCAGTTGAAGTGTCAACATGTTTTGACATTTCACTGATTATCAACTCAAATGTTCCTACCCAGTCAACGAAAGTTATTTATTGCCTACTATTTTTCAAAAGCTTACTACTAATCTAGTGTCCGGTCGATTAAAAGTACACAAACACAGTTGTTCTTGTCCTCTGTATAAACTTAAAATGAGTCTAAATAGTTTCCGTGTACTTTGACGCTGTAATCAAGTGTCTTAATCAACTACATGAACCACAAATCCTAGCTTCTCTCTTAAGCTAGTTTATCATTGTTTCTGGTTATTTTTCATTGTTACCTAACAAATCAGTCTTGTCTTTCATCTATTCTTTTTACTTTCTTTTTCCTAAACATATATTAAATGTGCTTTTTGGAAGCGATTGACCACAGCTATTAAACACGCAATTTTAAAACTCAGTAATATGGCCATATTTTAAAATTCTCGGTATTTCCTTACATACTAACATGCACGTTTGAATAGTTTATTTTGTATGCAAGTCAGTTTCGAGTAATAATATATGTATGATATGACAGCGAAGAGTGCAAGATATGGTCAGTACAACATTAAAAGTATCACTCAGACATTTTCAACATATAGCATGATATAAACGTACATTAGCCTAGCTTACCACACTCCATCAGCACAGCAGAATAAAATTGAAAGTATCTTTCACGAAGAAATGGAAAAAATTAGTAATTCCATGGATGGTATAAAAGAGCACACATTGAAGAATTTGGCTTGGTAAAAGAAAGATGAATAAACTCAAAATCTAGGAGAAGTTAAAAAAACGATCTGCCACATAGGTAGGAGTATCATTTTTCACGTTTGAGTAGTTTCTACTTGCTGATATGGTTACGAATGATTAAGTAATTTGAGTTGAGTCATAAAAACAAAGTTTGCTTTGTTGTCTAAATAATAAAAAGTCCAACTTTTTGAGATCTTCGGTAATATGGTTCGAAACCAATCATTGAAGTTCAGTTGGTTCCACCAAATCTCGATCTTTTTCTTAATATTTTGTGTTTTTGGTTGCTTTATTTACTTTTTCCTTGGTGTTTTTTGCCACTTTTCAATTTACTTTCCGTCTATTCATTTTCATTATGAAAGCACCAATTTCCAAGAGGTAAATATGAAATAGTGACGAACATCCTGGATATACCTTCACATAATTCCAGTGGACTAATAGGAAACTGTTTAGCTGCTGCCATTACATGTGCAGGTTTAGCTTTGCTAAACTCAGGTGTTCAGATGTATGATCTTCTAGTAGGATTAAATTTGGATCTCTCTGCTCTCGGTAATGAAAATGGACATCTTTGTGTTGCTGTTTTACCTCGTCTTCGTCAGTTTTCTATGCTTTATGCAGTGGATTCATGCATGCCTAACACCGAGTTTCTCAAAAATTCTTTAAATCACGCTATGGACAATTGTATTAAACTTGCAGATGTAATTCGAAGCCATCTCTGCGGACAGCTTAAAACTAAAATAAAATAAATATTTACGGTTTCTTTGTTTTGCTAATATTTGATGTCAAATGCAGAACCTCAGAAAATAAGGCTTCCACTATCACCTGTAGGTTGTATGACAATAGTCAGGCTTCTCTTTAGGATTGTTTCTTAGTGTTATCATACCAGTAACTTGTAAGTATTAAGAAAATTCGCAGTTTTCGTAGTTTCAAACATTTCCTCACTTATATTCGCAAATATATCCCAATCCTCTAAATAACTGTCAAGGGATCAAAAATCAATCGAAGTGTAAGTTTTGGCGTTCACGTACACAAAAAATGTAATTGACTTAGTACAGATTCATTTTCTCAAAGCTCCTCTGTGCGTGGGAGCTAGCGATACGATCCGGCTGCCTAAATCAGAGGTGAAACGTGGCCCGAAAATACAACTTAGCGACTGAAAGTCAAATGCCTTATTAACTGGAGTACACGTGTTTACAACAAACAGGGCCACAGCGTAACTGCGATTGGCCTAATGCAGTTAGTTTTGTATTAAGAACTATAGTCAGGGGGTTGTGTTGGTGAATTTTCCATATTAACCAATCTGGTGATAATATTTTCATTGACAGATAGACAATACTAAGGTAACTTACCAAACATTAGAAACAAAGGATAGCTCTTGCATTTGATGCTATAATTGTGTAAGTGTAGATTCTCATAGTCTATTATGGAATACAAGTTGGCGACTTACTTACGCCTGTTACTCCAAATGGAGAATAGGTTGCCGACCAGCATTTTCCAACCCACTCTCTCCTGGGCCTTCCGTTCTAGTTCTATCCAATTGTTGTTCATTCTTTTCATGTCTACCTCCACTTCTCGGTGTAATGTGCTATTTGGTCTTCCTTCTCTCCCTTGACCTTGAGGATTCCAAGTGAGGGCTTGCCTTGTGATGTAGTTGGGTGCTTTCCTCAATATATGTTCCACCCACTTCTGGATTTCTTCCTCCGCTGGGATCTGCTTTGTTCTCTCCCACAGTAAGTTGTTGCTGATAGTTTCTGGCAAACGAACCCGAAGTATTTTGCATAGACAACTGTTAATAACCACTTGTATCTTCTAGATGATGGTTTTCGTAGTTTTCCAAGATTCCGCCCCATAGAGTAGAACTACCTTGACACTTGTATTGAAAATTCTGACCTTGGTGTTGGTTGCCAATTGTTTTGAGTTCCAGATGATCTTCAGTTGTAAATATGCTACTCTTGTTTTTCTGATCCGCGCCTTCACATCTGCATCAGATCCACCGTGTTCATCAATGATGCTGCCCAAATATGTAAAGGTGTTAACATCTCCCGAATCTTCTCCTTCAATTGTGATTTGATTGGTGCATGTTGTGTTAAGTCGGAAAATCTTGCTTTTCCCTTTGTGTATGTTGAGACCTACTGCTGCCACACTGGTTGTCTTCTGCATTTGTTGTTGCGTGTGGGACACGAATATGAATAGTTTAGTTGCTTAACAATTATACGATAAAATTATACGTATAATATTGGTTCATAAATGGATCCCAAAAGTTACCATTCATTGTTCTCATCGGGATATAACACCTCCATGAACGAATTTTCAGTTCAATCCATCATAGGAACTCCGTATGATATTGACTGTCTTCTCAGGCACACCGTAATGTTGTCCTGTCCAGGCTATCAAATGCTTTCTCATAGTCAATGAAGTTGATGTAGAGTGATGAATTCCATCGAATTGATTGTTTCACAATGATCCGTAGTGTTGCGATTCGATCTGTACACGATCGATCCTTACGGAATTCCAGCCTGTTGGTGTCGAAGTTGGGCGTCTGCGGGGTCCTTCATTCTGTTTAACAATACCCTGTTGAAGACTTTTCCTGGTATTGAGAGAAGATCGATGCCTCTGTAGTTCTCACACTTGCTGAGGTCGCCTTTCTTTGGTGTCCTTTCCAGTCTGTTGGTATTTGTTCTTCATCCCAAATATGCTGAAGAGAATGTTGAGTATCTGCAGTTACTACTACGTCTGCTTTCAATGCCTCTGCTGGAATGTTGTCTGGTCTCGCTGATTTGCCGCTCTTGATTTGTCTGATGGCTATGATGCAAGGAAACCTCTTAGCGTCCTACTTAATGATAGCCACGCTAAAAATATATTTCAGGAACAACTAGACAAACAGTTAGGCAGCCACATAAGTGATGCCCAACCCGAGGCAGCGTGGAAAGACATCCGAAAAGCTGTGGAAGCAGCAGTGATATCTGCTAGTACGGTAAACCGTAAGGTTAGGGAGAAACACTAGATCTCAGCAGCATCTGCCGCACTGATAGATGCTGGGAAACTCGTCCCTTCTGCTTCTGAACATAATGAAGAGCGGAGTCTAGGCAATGATCGCGAACAGTGGTGGGTAACGAAAGCAAGAGAGATGGAAAAGGCAGCGGCAGTAAGTAATAGCAGACAATTGTTCAGACTCGTTAAGGAAACCGGAATTAGGAACCCGACCGTTAGCGAAACAATCTCAGAGAAAGATGGACATATTATTCATTCTCAATCCAGGAGATTGGATCGATGGGCAGAACACTTTAGGGATCAGTTCAAATGGCCTTCAGCCACACTTCGGTTTCCCACAATCGCTAGTCAACCTGAATGGCAAGTTATTGTAGGTCCTCCGTCCCTTTACGAAGTTGAAAAAGCCATAGGAAATCTGAAACGAGGGAGAGCAGCAGGCCCTGACAGGTTTACTCCTGAGATTTTTAAGGATTGTGGTCCAGTATTAGCAATGAGACTAACCGAGGTCTTAGGTAGAATTTGGGAACTGGACGTAATCCCATCTGATTGGTCTCAATCACTGATTGTGCCAGTCTATAAGAAAGGACAAAAGTCCTCTTGTGACAATCACAGAGGAATCAGTTTGACTAATATAGTGTCTAAAATATTAGCTTCAATAATACTTCGACGCCTAACTAAACCTCGTGAAGAGAAGATCAGGCTGGTTTTCGACCTGGACGTGGTTGTATAGACCAGATATTCACATTACGTCAGGTCCTAGAAAATAGACACAAATTCAGACGTCCCACAATGGTAGTATTTCTCGACCTTAAGGCGGCATTCGACTCTTGATCGTGAGGTTCTGTAGCAGTGTTCGTCACTGAAAGGAGTACCAAGGAAATACATAAACCTTATACGCGCTCTCTGCCACCAAATGCCCTGGAGAGAGTCGGCTCTCCCTCTCGAAGTACTCCTACACGGCCACGCGTATATAACCTTCCAGGGAAGTCCTACTCATTGCCTTCTCGTGGCGGGGGTATTTATTTATTTGAACACCTAAATATTGGTACAAGAGGGCACCAAATATATATACGCCACACAAAACAATGAGAATTCGAAGAGAGAAAAAAAGAACAATAACGAACAGATTAGTGTAAGGTAGTGTAGTATTAGTAATAAGGGAAGCGGAAAGGTACAACTAGAAGAAATCTTTCAGTCAAGGAAGAAACAACCGTTTTTTTAAATGAAGAAAGTAAAAGAAGGTTACAGCAGGATCGCCAATGGATTCTATTCTGAGCCATATCTGATAACGTCTCTAGTCACTGTGTTGCACCATCTCTCGGACCCCAGCCAGGGAGTTGTGAAGGACCAACAGCAGCCAGCCCTCTACAGCTTTCTTCCATACCACGACACCATGTCATGCACTGACCACTTCTCCGCTTCTTCCAATCAGTCCCAAATAATGCACGGCGTGGATTTCTCTGGGACGACATTCGGAGAACGTGTCCAAGCCACCGAAGTCGATGTTTCAAGATAGTGACACCAACTGCATTATCGTCTCTATGCCCGAACACACGATGCCGAACCTCTGCGTTACTAACATGGTGTTGCCAATGGATGTCAGCAATCCTTCGGAGACAACGATGATCAAACAGAGAGTCGTCCAACATCCTCTACTCGGAGAGGCCAGGTTTCACAAGCATAGAGCAGAACTGCTCTCACCGATGCGTTGTAGATCCGACCTTTTACAGCCAGACTAACATCACAAAGGCTCCAAAGGTGGCCCAGATTGGCATAAGCCTCTCTGGCTTTCACTATACGTGCATTGATCCCATCACCCGTGCTACCACCAGCAGTTGTGCAGCGGGGGTGTTGTTTATGGAATTGGGAGGACGAAAAGTGAATGACCGGCGCTTTAACCAGGTTGGTGGATATGGACAGTTCACCTAGGGGAGTTAGAAAACCCTGATTCCAAACTAATGGTGCACATGGGCTACAGGATCCTAGAGGGACAAATGACGTATGAACCAATCGTTGGCCACCGGCTACCATAGGACTGCATCTCCTTACGATGCTCCACTGTCTTGTGGATCGGACCTTCAGGTCGAAGGCTCTGGGTGTGGCCCCCTAAGAGAACCACCTGCTTCAGTTTGGGCACCCGTACAGTATCACAGCCCTTACACAAATCTCATATGATTTGTGTGGCGCATATGTATTTGGTGCCTACTTGTACCACTCTCTCCATTCTTGTTTAACTTTATCGTAGACATGCTTTTAGAGGTGACACTTTCCTCATCTAAATTTTCAGGGATTGAACTTCTATTGGGCGATTCACTTGTTGACTTAGAATATGCCGATGACATAGTTCTATTTGGTGAAGACGCTGACTAAATTCCCAGTCTTCTAATCACCCTAGGCAACATTGCAAGCGTGTTCTGGATGAGATTCTTACCCTCGAAATGCAAAATGTTACTTCAGGATTGGGTTGCACCGACACCCAAACTAAGGATAGGGAGTTAAGTAGTTGAGCGTGTCGACTGCTTCACTTATATTGGAAGTCTCATCAGCCCTTGTGGTCTGGTGTGTGACGAAATCTCAGCACGGATACAGAAGGCTCGACTAGCTTTTGCCAAATTGCGTCATTTATGGCGTACGCGAGATATCCGTCTACCAACCAAAGGACGGGTTTACTGCACAGCAGTTCGTTCCGTCCTACTTTATGCCAGTGAAACATGGCCGGTAAGGGTAGAGGATGTTCGTACGTTACTAGTATTCGATCATAGGTG